GAAGTACATAAATAACTGGAATTTTGTATTCCTCACAATTAAGAAACTTATATTCGTTCTTATTAAGAACTAGAGATGAGCGAACCCTAACTGAAAAGTTCGGGTTCGTACCGAACATTACGTTTTTTGGACCCCGGACCCAAACACGGACATATCACTGTATGTTCGGGTCGGAGTTCGGTGATTTAATGACGCGTTTTGAAAGGCTGCAGGGCAGCCAATCAACAAGCGTTTGACTTGTGTGCCCTTAGAAGCCATCACAGCCATGCCTACTAATGGCATGGCTGTGATTGGCCAGTGCAGCATGTGACCCAGCCTCTATAGAAGCTGGTCACTTAGTATTAGTAAATTATGCCCCTACTCGCTATACCGCGAGAAGGGGCGTGTCTATTAAACAGTGAGCTGCTCACTGTTAAAAAAATAAATAAAAAAATTCCCCCCTCCTTAGCCCCCAACTGCGACGCGCGAGTGGGGGCTTTTAAACTAAAGACCTATTGTCCTCCCCCCTGCCCCCACCCCTGAGCGGTGGGTGGGGGCCCTAAATAACAATAAGGGGGGACCTAATGCCCTCCCCCCCGGCCCCCACCCCTGAGCAGTGGGTAGGGGCCATAAATAAAAATTGGGGGGGACCTAATGTCCTCCCCTCTGGCCCCCATCCCTGAGCGGTGGGTGGGGGCCATAAATAAAAATTGGGGGGTCCTAATGTCCTCCCCCCTGTCCCCCACCCTTGCATGGTGGGTGGGGGCCCTAAATAACAATAAGGGGGGGGACCTAATGTCCTCCCCCTGGCCCTTGCCCCTGAGTGGTGCGTGGGGGCCGGGTGGGTAGACAGTAGGTCCCCCCACCACATTCTTATTTAGGGCCCCCACCCGTCGCACAGGGGTGGGGGCAATAGGTTTTTTGGGTTTTTCTTTTTACAGTGAGCAGCGGTATAGCGAGTAGGGGCTGAATTTTCTAATACTAAGTAATCTTTACTTAGTAATCTTTACCTATCCACATTTGTTTGCCAAAAGTTCAAGTCCCCATTGACTTCAATGAGGTTCGGGTTCGGGGTCAAGTTCGAGCACGAACCCGGACTTTTTTCAAAGTTCGTCCGAATCCGCCGGACCTGAACATACAGGTGTCTGCTCAACTCTATTAAGAACTCCATTTTTATATCCTTCATCTAAGAAACGCAACAATTGCTTTTTAATATCTGCTTCAGGATTTTTATTTAATTTCCGATATGTGGTAATGACTGATAATTGGCCATGAATCTCGCCAATATAGTAGGCTTTATTCATTAAAACTGCCTCCTCCTTGTCTGCTGGTTTGATAACAATGGACTGATCTGATTTCAGATCCTGTAAAGCATTTTTCTCTCCTCTGGTTAAATTTTGTTGGAATTTAGTAATAGGTTTAATTTTCTTTAGATTGGTAACAACTGCTTTCTCAAATGTTTTCATACCATGAGACTTTAAAAGGGCAGAAAAAAGTTTTGGTTTCGGTTTTAAATTGGTATGTATAAATTCATATTTTTCAGGTTTCTTTAATTGAAAATCAGTCTCCAAAAAATATTTATTTAAGCATAATTTTCTCATATCTATTGAGATCAATAAAAGTTTCAAAATGACTAAGATTACAGTTGGAAGCAAATTTAAACCCTTTTCTTAAAACACTTTCGTGATTAAAATCAAAAATTTTATTAGAAAGGTTAAAAATCTTTATAGGTTCTCTAGATTCTCCTAGGTCTCTCCTATTCTCCTTGGGTTTTCTTCCCTCCTCTATTTCTTCGTCTTGAGTATCTCGTCTTCATTTTAGGGGTGATCGTGGTGGTTTGGGCCACATATTGGCTTGATTTGGTCTTCCTAAAAAAACATCCTCTCTTTCATTTGTGAGGGGCGTGAACCTATTCCTTAGAAAAGGAGTGTGACAGTGGCGGAAACGGAAGTTCGGCCATATTGGATGGGGCAGAAGGCACATCCGATAAGGACAGAAAGGGGAGGGCCTCTGCCCCATGTGTATGTATTTTACGTTTATTGTGGGGGTATATATTCACCCAGGGAATAGTTTCTACCTCATTACACCTGATGAAGACCCACTGAGAGGTCGAAACGCGTTGTGTTTATATAGCATTTCCAAGCTAAAGACTACTAACCTAAATTTAAGATTTTACTATTTTTTGTATAATACATAATTTTTTTATACCTAATTTGGTATTTCGCCATTTATATTTATTGGGAGAGAGGCTCTTGGCTGAAAGTGAACCCTGAACAACCATCACCACTGGGGAGCAAACCAGGCAGGCAAACCTGGTTACCTATTGTAAATATATTATTGACCTTTTTTCCATATGGGATGGCCCAGAGGATTCACTTAACTCATTCACTGGTCACCTTAACACTAACGACAGTTGAATTATTTTAACTTGTGAATATAGTAAGACCACCATTCATTTTTTAGACTTAGAAATTTTGATTAAAGATGGTATTTTAACCCCTTAAGGAAACATGACATTTTATTCCAGAAGATTGGTCCTTAAGGGGTTAAACACTAAAACATTTTTTAAAAAGGTATGCACAAATACAGCCATTGACCGGTCAAGTTGCAACTACAAGCAATGGCTGGAAAGTGCACCAACTTTTTTTTTTTTAAGATTAAGGAGAAATTGTTCCCAGATAGAAGATTTTAACCAGCAAGCAGAATTGTTTACAAAAAAATTTACTGAGAAAAATTACCCATTAGCTAATTCAAACAAAACTAAAGATGCCATTAAAACAAAAGAAAGAACAGAACTTTTAACCCACCAAAAGAAAACCCATATGCACCACAAAAAATGTAATTTACCTCCTAGAATGCCCGTGCGGTCTCCAATATGTGGTCATGACCACAAGGAGCCTCAAAACATTTTAGCATCCATAATAAAGATCCGGGCAAACTAAAATGTACTATCCCATGGAGAGAAGGCAATATCAAGAACATTTTAGGGAAGTGTGAAATGGAATGGGTTTTTAACTTGAAAACATTAGTTCCTAATGGTTTAAATGCTGACCATGACTTATTTATTATTATATGAAGTTTCATTTTATATGCCCCTCCCTTCACGTCTAATAGCATAAGCTGATATTATTATGTTGTAATTAATTAATTTATTATTTTTTATTATTTTACTGTCTTACACTTATGATCTGCACTTATATCATTATGTTGTAACTAATTTATACTAATCTGATTTACCCATATTTACACTATTGTTATATGTGATTAACTGTTTTTGTTTTTATGCTTCTATGTACCCATTCTTACCCATACCCATTTACTGGCTTAATCAGAGAGATACATTTTTACACTTTTACAGCTAGATCTGATTTTTTATTAGATTGTACTTTTTCTCCCCTAATTAAGCACTTTTACACTATCTGTACTCCTTTTAAATCATTAAGTGCTTATTATTTACTATATTTTCAGCCTGCCACACCTAATATGGCCGCCGTGTATGCCTTACATGGCTTTTCAAGCCAATTCCCCACTTAAGATGGCCGCCGCCACCATCTATTCACTTATCTATTCTAATTTTAAAACGTTTTTTCAGCCCATCCAGCCGATTCTCCCTAGAGCCAATAACTGGCTGACTTCCGTGCCAGCTAACATTACTGGCATGTAGTTTATCTATTAATACCTAGCGGACGGAAATGACAATGCACCTATGACACACGTCACATGTCTCGGCAATTAATGCCCATTATACCTCTAAAACCACTCGTTTTAATATTAATCTTACGTATTCAGACCCCCAAAAGTCAGATCTATGTATATTCTAACAGAATAAGCTGTTATTTATTTGCAATCATACTCTGCTCTATGATTGGATAGAGCAATTTTGGCGCCAATTTTAAGTTGTCTTAAGCCTATATTTACCTCAACAAGCCAAGTTGAAAGTTCTTAATCCATTGATAAAGCCTATATGGTGAAACACGTTTGGATATTTTGTACTGCTTTTTAAATTGTTAATAAACAGATTTTGGTCCTTTTACTTTTTTGAACCATCATCTTTTATTTGCATTTTATTTTTTTACTTCAACCTGGCATTTTACTTTTCTTCATTACTCCAAAGAATCCTAGGTGGGGATCAGACCACCTATGCTGTTGTCATAGAGCAGTTAACCTGCTCTATATATTGTGAGTATATTTTATTATATATATATATATATATATATATATATTTTTTTTTTTTTTTCTTTATTTTCTGTTGTGCATGGTATAACAGTAGGCTTGCTCAGCCACAAGCAGTATAGTAAACAGCACATTTTTTTGATTTTGTTAGAGGAGGTAAGGACAGTGGATAAATATGACATTTCAACTTGTTAGCTTTTCTTCTGTCTGTGGTGTGAGTGTTCTGCGTTCGTAGCATATATAGGGCAAGTGTAAGTTCTCAGTGTATAACAGGCTTAGTCAGTTGTGTCATTTAAACATCAGCATGCTTAGTTATGTCATTAAAGCGTTAACATTACTATTGAGTATGTGTTAGACAGGCTATTTAGCTGGTATCGGACACAGATTGTTAACAGTAAAATATGAATTATATGTGGCCTTAAGTATAGTTCATGCTTTAGAGATACGAGTAACAGAAAGGAAAAGCAGCATAGGATTTGCCAGGCAGTGAGATTAGGCTGCATAAAATAAGCAGTTGATTGGTTATCTGGGAGCATGGCTGGCGTGAATTGCAAGACAGTATACGATTTTGCAAGATTATTATGAAAATGCTAAGCCAAACAATTAAAGACCATTAGACAATTAAAGACCATTAAGCAATTAAAGACACTTAGACAATTAAAGACCATTAGACAATTCAAGACGGTCATGCTCTGACGATTACTGTAAAGCTCTCTTGTTGTTGTAAAAAACAGGGAACACTTTGTTCTTTCGCCGTAGATAGAGTCCTCTGCTGTCTGTGATTAGACATGTCCGCAGTGTAGACATGGTCAATAAGTGTCCCAGTGGAGCCCAGGGTAGGCGGTCAGCTAGCCGGTAGTCCGGTCGCAGGGATCCACTGTACCCCCTGTGGTTGATTGGTTCGACCTGGGTGGTTGCTGGGTGTTTGGGACGTTAGTGGCTCTCCCCGTCCTTGCTCCGATGCATGGGTCCCGCTTGTGCGTTTGTCTGTAGGTGGGAGATGGTTCCCTCTGCATCGCCTTCTCAGTGTTGGCAATATTCAGGTACATTAGATGCTCCCATTTGCAGTGTCCATAAGCTTTACTGCCTTGTAACTTGCTGCTGGAATAATAGTGGGTGTTCTCTTTAGCTGCGTTGGATTCATCATTTTGAGCAGGCGTCCGCTTGTTCTCTCTGGAAGCCAGCGCACATGGCGCGGCCATCTTGCAGACTGGCGCCCGGGTGATCCTCCCCGGCAGGGCGGTTAAATGGGCCCAGGTTGGTGCGCTGGTTAGTGCCTCTGCGTCCGGTCCAGATGGGGGGGGACGCGAGCCACCGGTCAGGAGACCCGGGAGAGCGGCCGTCCCATCACGGCTCAAGCCCCAGCGAGCTCCGAGCACGGCCGGGTTACTGTCGGTGCCGGACTGGTTCCCATGTGGTATCCCCGCTCTTCCCAGTAACTGGGGGTCTGTGTGGATGTTGGTGGGGTTTACCGGTCACGGTATCCTCCAATTTGCTCTGACTTTTGGGCTGTGGAGCGGGAGCTCAGACAGAGTGCTTCTGATCCCGTCGGCGGTCAGGTCCCACCCCCTATTATATTTTATATACCAGTAATATTTTATTGAGAGCACTATTGCTGTTTTTATTATCTTCCTTTTGGGCTCATGATACCACCATCTTTAAAGAACACTCACCATATATCCCAGAGGCGGGGATTGTACCACTGTATGCCTACCACACTAGAGCTAGTATAAGCTCTATCAAATGTGAGTGTTATTACTATATTTTATCATCTTTTACCTACTGTGGAACATACTGCACCATTATGGTTTCCATTCTTATTATCTCCCCCTTGGATCTACGATACAGTACCAAGAGGACACTCACTGCATATACCATAAACGGGGATTATACCGCTGCAAGCCATACACACCAGAGCTGGATTAAGCTCTATTGAATGTTGAGTGTGAGTAAGAATTCTACCACTTCCTTTATATTGGCACCTCTTGGAACGTACTGCACCATTTTTCCCTCTCATCTCTTATCGCCCTCTCCTATATATCTGACCACTGCAAGAAGCGGAACCCCGCAGCCCCAGAGACCAGCATAAGATCATAGTTCCTATCTTCTGGACTCTTTACATACAGGATTTATCCAAGATAGGACTTATATTGATCTACTTTTGTACTGTGGTGCAGCCCCATCCTTTTGTTTTTGCTATCTCTCCATTTAATATTCAAGTTTATTTTTAAATTTAAAATTAAAATTAAGAAGTAACCTTTATAAATTACCAAAATTGTATGGTGAATTCAATTTGGGATTCTCTTCTCTGGGTGCTCTGGACTGTAACTCAGTCTATTGCCTTCAGTCAGTCAATCTCCAGATTTTTTAGCCCTCTGATCGTCCTTGATCTTTAATGATAATCTGAAGATACCTGAACCTCCTTTCTCTTATTTCCCCCCCTATTTAACCATTTTCCCCATTATCAGTTCCTGCCCCTTGTTTGTAAATGGGCTGTACCTGGGATTAAAATCTGGCATTTGATTGGTTATGGTCCTATCTTAATATTTAATTTTTAATGTGGCCCTTAGAGACTTTCATCAGTAAATGGCAGGCAGATCATGATTCCAGTATATTTAATCAAGTTCTGTTCCTTATAATATGGAAGTGAGCTTTCTGTGAGACCACAGATTTTGGGTCTTGTGGGCTAGCAAACATTCAGGTTTGTAATATTTATGGGCAAGCAACTCATTGTACCTTTGGTCATTTAAGCTCTCTGGATTCTACCAATTTCAGGTGGGAAAGTCCATCTTAGTGATGACTCATTGTTCACTGTAATCCTTATACACATATCTCAGGAACGAAACTGTAGATAGGGATTTCTCCTGTTTACTTCTCAGGACCACTAAACAAAAGGCTATTTTGACCTTTGGTCAGAGAGGTTGAAGCAATGTTACATAATGTCCAGGCATATCTACCAGCATCCATATTGTTTTCTGAATATTAAAATGCATACTGTTCCAAATAGCACAACAATAAGCTAATTAACTTTCATTCTTTTTTTACATTAATCTGAATGCAGTACTGTGTTTACAAGGCAGGGTGGGGACACACAATAACAAGGGTTGAGGTCCACATGGGCAATTTAAGGATGTGGCGGAATATTTAGTTTATATTCAGTAAGATGACTCATTTCATACCCTTACCAAAAGTACCACCATGCATTTGCACCTGAAATTGGAGTGGGGACTGAGCTTTCTTAAAGGCCATCTTCTGTGTCTCCTCTACATCCTTGATGGCTCTTTTCAAGGAAATTGACATAGACAGAAAGAAACTATAACATAGGGAGCAAAGAATTGTTTGCTATTATTCTTGCCCTGAAAGAATGGTGACACCTCCAGGAGAGTTCAAATATACCAGTTATAATACTTACAGAACATAAAAATTTGTATTCTACCAGCAATGCTAAAAGGTTGGATTCTAGTCAGGCATAGTGATCTCTTATTTTATCACACTATAACTGTGTAATTACATATAGACCGAAAAGTAGAAACATCAAGGCTGAGTCCATTTCCCAATAATGATATTGTCCTAAATCTGATGGCCTAGACAATTTACCTATAGTACATCCTGACTGAATCGTAGCTGTGACCAGAACTGTTCTGACTAGTACTTTTATGGAAAATATTCAGAGGGCACAAACATAGGCTCCCCCGACACACCCAGAGGAAAACCGTTGTCTCTGTTGAGGAGATAATTCATGTCCTTAACCATCTACATGGTACCAGAACTGCAGGACATGTATGTGCCCATGGCTTCTCATCAAGTATCTTGTGGCTTACTACAGCCATTACTATTTCCTAAGAAGCCATGGACTTATCTTTCTACTGACTTCATGGTGGACTCAATTCAAGAGTAACAGTGTAAAACTCAAGACAGTGGATTGGTGCAGTAAGTGTCAGGATTACAAGTTGATCCAGCACCTAGGACTAATAGGTAACGTCTTAACGGGCCTTAAAATGGCCAGACTTAACGTACCAGAGAATAGTCAGAATACCTGCCGAGGTCAGGGACACAGAAAGAGACAACGATGAGTGAAAGCCAGAAGTCAAGGATACCAGAATACAGGGAAGACAAACGAAGTCAAAGTCAATAACCAGAAATAAATTATCAGTAACACACTCTCGGACAACCACTAAGGGAAACCATGACAGGGCAATGAGCTGAAGAAAGAGATGGACTTAAATACCCCTCTTGTGGATCAGATTGGCCGTAACCAGCCTTTGACCCCAGAACGTGCGTGTGTGTCTTTTGCTTGATGTTACACACACGTCGACGTCGTCAATGCCGTGGGCGGACGTGGAGCTGCTAATTGAGGTAGATCCGCAGTGGCCGGCGTCCATTAACATGCTCCAGGGGTCACACATATTAAAGCATGGCCGCTGAATGGCACTACCGCATTTTTTGGCAAGGCAATCATTATTGATGTCGCAAGGTGAGGATGAATATGTTACATTACCCCCTACCTGGAGATTGCCCACCGGGAGGGCAGAACCAGGCGTGAAAAGAGCGTACCTTACGGCTAGCATGAATGTCAGAAGCAGGAACCCAAGAACGCTTGGCAGGCCCATACCAATCTACCAAATACTGCAATCAACCATGAGAAAATCTGGAATTGATTATGGAAGAGATCTCATACTCCTCCTGTCCAGAAACAACCACTAGAGGAGGGGGAATACTTCGGGTAGTATACCTATTGCAAATAAGCAGTTTGAGCAAGGACACAGGAAAGGTGTTGGGAATACGTAAAGAGGCAGGAAGCGCCAGAGAATAGGAGACAGGATTAATCTTCCTAATAACACGGAAGGGACCAAGGAATCTGGAAGCAAGTTTCATACTAGGAACTTTTAATTTAACATTACGCAAAGATAACCACACCCTCTCAACTACTTGGTAAACAGGGTTGGCACCCTGCTGTTTATCAGCATAAAATTTAAACCAATCAGCCGCAGTTTTGAAAGCGGAGTGAACCTTATTCACAAAGAAAGGACTATGTCTAGAAGAGTAATGATTAGCATTGTTTCGAGCAAACTCAGCCCAGGGTAGTAACTTGGACCAATTATCCTGAGTGCTATTAACAAAACAACGCAAATACACTTCTAATGACTGATTAGCCCTCTCAGCTGTGCTATTGGTTTGGGGATGGTAAGATGAAGAAAATTACAATTCAATGCCCAATTGTTTATTGAAAGCCCTCCAAAACTGAGACACAAACTGAGAACCTCTGTCAGAAACAATATTGTGAGGAATGCCATGCAGTCTGACAATTTCTCGCACAAAAATAAGAACCAGGTCTTGAGAGGAAGGCAGTTTCTTGAGTGGAACAAAATGAGTCATTTTAGAAAAACAGTCAAGCACCATCATAATAGCCCTTAGAACTAGGAAGTTCCACGATGAAATCCATGGACAAATGGGACCATGGAACACTAGGTACAGGAAGTGGCTGCAACAACCCACTTATGAGGGACCTTGGAAACTGCACAAACTGAATAGGCCTGCGCATATTCCTTAACATCACTCCTGAGAGAATCCCACCAAATTGATCTCATGATTGCAGATACGGATTTATTGATGTCCGGGTGCCCAGCAGTCACATTGTTGTGGAATACCCTCATGACATTCTCTCTTTCACCCAATGGAACAAACAATTTATCTGCCTGAGACTGAGCCTCCATTATAACACCAAGCAAAGGAGAAGACAGTGAAAGAACAGTGGAAGCGCTGAAACATTCAGGTGGCACAATAGGAGATGTCCCTGTATAGATTCAGTATCAAGGCATCTGCTTTCACATTCTTGGGACCAGGTTAAAAGAAGGTTAAAGCAAGACCATCTAGCATCCCCTATATAAGCCAAATTCTTATGGTCAGTGATGATCAAAAGGAGATCCTTGGAACCTTCAAAAAGATGTTGCCACTCTTTAACCACTAGGATAATGGCCAACAATTCTCTGTTGCCAATATCATAATTGCATTCAGCGGGAGACAGCTTTCTAGAAAAGTACCCATATGGATGCCAAGGGGTATCCTGACTCTCCCTTTGAGAAAGAACAGCCCCTACCCCAGTTTCGGAGGCATCAACCTCCAGCATGAAGGGTTTACAGGTGTCAGGATGTATTAATGTCGGCAGAAGCAAACCTTTGTTTAAGACGTTCAAAGGCTTCTC